ATCGAATCCCTTCCAGGTGACCTTTATGGGTAGAGTTTGCATGTTTTCGCTGTGCCTGTGTGGATTTTCTCCGGTTGTTACAGTTTCCTTCCACAGACCAAAAACATGAATGTTAGACTAATTTTAAACTCTAAATAGTCCCTATAGGTGAGAATGAAAGGGTGAATGTTTGTCTCTGTGATGGACTGGAGACATGTCCAGGGTGTATCTCCTGGATGGATGGATGGATGGATGGATGGATGGATGGATGGATGGATGGATGGATGGATGGATGGATAAATCAGTGGGTTTGTGGATGGATGGATGGATGGATGGATGGATGGATGGATGGATGGATGGATGGATGGGTTCTGAACAAACAAAACCAGACAAATAAAAACAAGCTGTATCAGCAGAATATTTCCTGCCATAACTGTTTATCAATATCAGTTGATTGAACTTTGTTTTTTCCCCTTGAGTCATCCAGGTAATAGCCATAGTAATATTTTACTAACAGTAATAACTCAGCTGTGTGAGATCAGGTCAATCCTGTGATGAGGATCAGCACAGACAGTGACACTGACGGTCTTTCTTCTCCAGCACACAAACAGTTAAATTAAGGCTGTTTTTAGATGCTGCTGGATCTTTGCTGCAAAACATTSAGTCTTAAGTTTTTGTACTTGTGCTGGCCGGGATCAGAGTGGAGGAAACAGAGTTGAATGGAGGTCAGTGAACTGAGTGTGACCTAAATCACAAATAAGTTCTGCCACTGAAGCTGCAGGAGAATCTTACCCAAACAAGGCAGCAAAGACTTTTCCTGGGAAGGTGAGCACCTTGTTGCAGCTTCAGACTGCTTCTGATTTTATTTTATTTTATTTTATTTTATTTTATTTTATTCTTTATAGTCAGTCAAAGCACTTGAACAGATATGGATTGCTGCTGAGTGCCATGGCAACCAGAAAGGGGCTATTCTCAATCACTAAAGCTGAGGGAGGGACCAAAGGACTTAATCATCGGCACACATTTTCACTCTGTGTCCACACGCTGTCATGTTGCTCCCATGTTTCTATCAACTTTATTATAATTCTTTACTATATTCTGTGTGGAGGATTAGACCTATATGGATTAAAAAATGTTTTTCAGCTTTAATTGAGCGATAAATAAATTACTGTTTTCTGATAGACTAGTGTAAAAATCTAGGAAAACAACAGAAAATAAAAAACAGGATATTAGGGAGAAAAAACTTTTACAGTGTATTCATACAACATTACACAGTTAGATGTTAAAAACAGACTAATACCTAAACCTTTAACCCAGTAACATGATAATGTATTTGTGTCACAGTATTTAAAGACTCGAGTGTGCGTGTTTACTGAAAATTAACTGATTTCGTAAAGAAAATCTCCAATTTTAGATGTTTAATTTATGTTGAACAAGCCTGTAGGAGCCTATTATGAATAAACTTATTTTAATATATTTTCATTTTTATTTAAATATTTTAAATAAGTATTTTCTTGAAGTTTTAAATGTTATTTATCCTTCACGGTTATTTAAACAACATGTACATTTGAATTTTATATTTTTACAAACCATTTTAGAAGGCTTGCCACTTCAGGTCGGTCACTTTTCCTCTCCAGCTGCGCCACCACCTGGTACGACGCGGTAATCACGCGCATTACGTCATCACTGCGCGACCAGGAAACGGCGCTGCTGTTCGGTTTGTTTGCTGTCGGCTTGTCCTTCACGTTCCTCTGGAAAACGTTACAAAAGTTTCGTGTTTGTTGGTTTTACTGTGACGTTTTTGTGCTTTATGAAAATTAGAAGTCTCAGACAAGGAAGGCCGAAGTGTTTGTTATTCATCTTTCATTACGTGAGTAATAGGTTTACTTCGAATATTTTAATTTTTAATACGGTAAAGCTTTATATAAAAAAAACTTATTCAAATTATGTATTGACTGTGTAGTCGCTTTAGCATAGTTTTATAACGCGTTCATGTTTTTAAATAACGCCTGGTTTTTCATTGAAATTTGTAAATAATGTCCATCTTTCAGCTACAGCCACTTCCGGTTGTCCTAAGCTTTTTTTTATTTTTATTGCTTTTTCATAATAGTAAACGCAGTGATGGCAGCTCCAAACGCTACTGAAAGAAAGGCTTGTTGGAACGCCAAGGACCACCTCTGGCAGTGTTTAGACGACAACAATGACAAAATTCAACCCTGCCAGAAGTTCCAGAGTGAATTTGAGGCTAAATGTCCTGCTCAGTGGGTAAAGTGTCCCTTTAGTGTTTGTTGAAGCAACAAGAAAAAGTTTAAACGTGAGATTTTTTTTTTCTGTGTAAACACTAAATTATTACTGCACCTAATGTTGTTCTCTGGCAGGTGAAATATTTCACCAAGCGGAGAGACTACCTGAAATACAAAGCCAAGTTGGAGACAGAAGGGTTCGTCCCTGCTCAAGACAAGGAAAACTCTTAACCCCCAACAGCTCCAAACTGACTTTGAACCATTTCTGCATATATTTGTTGGGGGAAAATGCTGCAACAGTGAATCCAAACAGCAGAATGTCAATAAATCCTGTTGGATTTTTCTAATTAGTACTTTCAGTGTTATTTATTCTAACACTGTTTTAATGTTGATGTGTCTCTTGTTGGTATGCTGCTTCTGTGAGGATTACAGTTTTTGTGGACAAAACAAGGCTTTGTGTGTGAATAAATCCAAACAGCTGAATGATGTTGATTTTATTAAACGTGTTTCATTCTACTTTGTTTCATGGCTGAATAGGTAAAATGTTCCATTTCAACTTTACAGCCCAGTATTTACAGAGGAGTGTGGCGCCTGGGTCAAAGGTCACTGCTGCTACACCAGGAAGATGTATTCAGGTTATAACAAGACTTTGAATATAGACATATAAAATAAAAACATGTAGAATTTCTGTAAAAATAAATGTCTGCGCTCAGTACATTTAAGAAATTGAACAAAACTTTTTTAAACCATCAAGAAATAGTGATTTAACAGTTGATTAAACTATTGCACAATACCGTCCCGTACTCACGTCTCCAATCTGAAATGTTTTTTTTTTTTTATCTTCGCACTTTCACATCTTTGTCTTTATATACCACAGTTCTCCCAAATTAAAACTCTAAAACATGTTCGTAGCTTTTACATGTGAGAACTTCATAAAAACAGGGTTTCTTTTAATATTTCCTGCAACAAATTTTCCCTCTAAAATCAAATCACATATAAATTGTATCCTGTTATATCCTCATAACATTACGTGTCTTTTATTTATTTATTTAAAACAGGCATGGGCAATCCTGGTCCTGGAGGGCCGCAGCCCTGCATGTTTACTTGTTTCTCTGCTCCAACACACCTGATATGA